TATCAGTAGTTTTTTTTTTGAAAGTTGTGTCTAGGTTCTCAAAGAAACCAAGCGATCCCTCTCACGTTCTAGTCTTTGAAGACGCTCCAAATGGTGGCCGAGCCGCGAAGGCAGCCGGCATGAAATGCGTAATGGTCCCTGACGCAAAGTTTCGCAAGGAGGCTTTGAGCGTAGGGTACATTTTACGCTAGCTTGCTTCTTGCTCTGTCTATCCTTGCACTTCAATTTTTTTCAGCGTTACACAAGTACTGCACAGCCTGGAAGATTTTCGTCCCGAAGATTTTGGACTTCCGCCTTACGACTGACACAGAACTTCATTACAACATTGTTTGTTTGTTCATAGCCATACTAGAAGTATAGTCTGGACATAGAATTGAATACCGTGATGGTTGTGAGGAGCTGCTAGGAAAAAAAGAATGGAAAACAAATAAATGCCAACTATGCATATTGTGTTTTTTTTTCACTAATCCTCTTGATCTTCCAGTATTCGACGAAGTAATTCGTCTTTCGATGTTGAATAATCAGTGTCACCGGAGCTGACAGAGGTAGTGTCAGTGCCGCTCTCATCGCCATTTTCACTCGAATCCGAGCTCGGAACTGAAATTTCGTTGATTTGCTGCAATATTTTGGTGCTTGAGAGAAATACAGACTTTTCACTGGTACAGGTTCAGTCTTTAACTCGGCGATGATTTGACGATAGAGGGGATCTTCGCATTGTTTCTCATGGAACTCCAATTCCACTTCTGGCACAAAGTGTCGCGAATTTACCCGACATATGAAAAAGTAATTAGCAATATTTCTGCAAAATTTTCTACCTTTAGTCCCAAATGATTTATCAGATACGAAACTTGACAATGTCCAAATTTTACAATATCGAAGCAGTTCAACTTCTTTACTCTCTCCCTTCTTCTCCTTCACTCTCTCAAGAAGTTGTAGCGACACACCTGACTAACTTGAGCTTTTGTGCGTTTTGACGGCAATATCTCAGTCTGCATGCTCTTAGATGATCGGCAAAAATGGCTGGATCAACACGATGGTTGAGATTGTACGGGCAAGTGACGGTACGACCATCCAGCGGCGTCGAGGGTTCAGACATTGCCGCTAATTTGTGGTTTGTGAAACTCGGCACGGATGCGCTGGCAAGGTTTAGCGCGTCATATCCACGTTATTGTATGTGAAATTAGTTCAAAACAGGTAACAGTGGTTGAATGAACTTTTCCATGAGAGTGGGATTACTGAAATTACGGCCAATTACAAATTTGCATCTTTTCACACAACCTTGGCGTTACTATACCG